AGGTACTTTGGCTGGATCAGTCAGAAGCCTTGGTGGGAGAAATGGCCCAATCATGAAATGTCCACAGCTCTCAGACAGGTTGTCAAGGCCAGGGATTTCCTGAGCATCCTTGGCAGCACCATTTTTGTCACTTTCTTGTACTGTATTGCTCTGTATGAAGTGCCTGCACAATTAAGCAATGCACATGGAACCTCCCTGAGCTCTCTCGTCAGTTGCAGAACTATTGTTCCGTTTCTTTTGATCCACTGTGAGTGGAGCCTGCCAGCCAACAGTCTCTCTCTTCTTAATGCTGCAACTCTCTTGCAGTTGGTGCAAGTGTTATCCACTCTTCTCACTTGGGCGTCCCTTATTATTATTATTATTATTATTATTATTATTATTATTAAACATTTCTATGCCGCCCCTTGCCGAAGCCTCGGGGCGGCTTACAACACAATAAGATACATTGAAATACAATAGAACATAATAAATTACCACTAAATACAAAAATACAAAAAATACACTGAGATACAATAATATAAAATTAAAATTAACAGTATAAAATAAGTAAATAAAGAATATAGGAGGAGGAAAGAGAAGGAAGAGGAAGTTGCCCTGGCCAGATCACATATTTTAACCATTAAAATGATGTTTAAATAAAAAGGTCTTTACCTGGCACCGAAAAAACCAGAGCCAGAGTGCTGAGAAGGGTGCAAAAATCATTTGGCTTTAACATCATTCTCCTTCACCCTTTCTTGGTATGATCCACTGTTCAGCTCCAGAACCTGTCCCACGTTTCCAAGGCCAGAGTTCCCCATGCACTTTCCCCGCACTGATTCTTGTATTTGCCCACCGAGATCCATTACCTTGTTCATCCAGAGAAAAAGAGAGTTGTAGCAACCCGGGTAAAGTGCTGGCTGAATCCCAAAGCCAGGTTCCATATTTGAACTATAAGTTCAAGGGTCAAGAAGTCACCTTAACATATTTGGAAGCAACTGCCAAAAGGTTGCAGGCTGAATATACCATTTCTAAATCCTACTGGAAACTCTACCAAGAAACCCTGGGAAGAGTTTCCATCAAAAATTATTGTTGTCGTGGGACATTAATTGTCTCTGACTTACGGTGACCCGATGAATGAAAGCCCTCCAAAACGCCCGTCCTTGCCAGCCCTGTTCATCTCTCATAAGCTCAAGGCTGTGGCTTTCTTATGGAGTTAATGTATCGCATAGCCGGTCTTCCTCATCTTCTTTGGCTATTGGCATTCCCCAGCGTTGTTGCCTTCTCCGGTGAGTTATTACGATCTGCTCTTAATCAAAACTGTGGCAGCTCTGAGGTCCCTCAGAACAGCTCAGCTTCCTTTTGGTGTCTGTGTCATCAGCCAGCTTTCAGGTATTGGAAGACAGCATGGCCCATCAGCAAGACCACTAAGCGTTTTCACCCCATTTTGGATTCATACCCAAGGTAATCCAGAAAGCAGACTGCGATTGACATTTTTCCGAATGTTGGCAATCAACAAGGAAGTGGAGGCCTTTGGATTGTCCTTCCTTTGAAATTGGGCAATTATAGGAACTTCTGTGCTATTTTTAAACTTTTCATGTAATGTATTAGCTTGTTTTATTTATAGCCTGCCTTTTTTTCCTTAAAGAAATAGCATTCCTCTTCCTTCTCTCCATTTTATCTTTACAAGCACCTGGTGAGGTAGGTAGGTCTGTGACTGAGTCTGTGACTCATTAGGCTTCACAGGTGAGTAGGGACTAGAACCCAGATCTCCTGAGTCCCAGTCCAACACTCTAACCACTACACCACACCGGCTCTCATCCAATGGCTATTGCTTTCTCCCAGATCTATCCATTTCTGTCCATGTGACAGAACCCATTGTTCTTAGATCCCATTGTCTCTCTCTCTCTCTCTCTCTCTCTCTCTCTCTCTCACACACACACACACACACACACACACACACACAGTGAAAGAGGTCCTTGCATAACCCAGCAAAACTCTGGATAAATGCAGTTAAGGGTTCAGTTGCTGGTAGTAGAACATAAGTGAAGCCCTGTTGCAAGGGAAGAAGGAAAAAAGAAGAGTCCTAAAGTTGCAGATTTCAGCTTTCAGAGCATACCAGGAAAAAAATATAGAATCAGCCATGAATTTTCATGTTGCACCACCTAGTGGTAACACCAATTAGTAGCATCAGCAGAAATAAAATATTGCAACTCGTGAAACTGTTTTCCAGTATTTATACCCCTACAGATGAGTTAGGATGTGGATGGCAGCAAAGCCTCCTTCTTACCTTGGATGTGGATTTTAGTTTTTGAGAAAAGCTTCATGGCCCAGGTTTTGCAACATCATTTTCACTTAGCACATGTGCTTGAATCATGTGCCAATGCATGATATTGGGAGAGCTTTGTTGATTTGTTTCACAGGTTAAAATAGAGGAGAGGTCTTTACACTGCATGATTCCTTCATAGCCATCCATCAAAAGCCTCTGCTGCATCAGGATGTGGGACAGGAGCTGGGGCAAAGCAACATGGTGCCAGGGCAGCATCAGGCACGTGGGTTCCTTTGGATCCCTTTTCCCTTGAAGCCAACCCTGTATGGACGTCTGTGTCAGGCTTTGCTCTTACTTGTCCAAATGGCAACATTCTTGCAATAGCATGGCTTAATCCTGTCTTAGGTGCTATCAATGAGTCAGTTTGTGACTGTGTTCCCCTTGAGTTCCCGCACCTTAAGGGGCCTGCTCCTTAAAGTCTTCTGCAGTGGCTTCCCTTTTGCATCACGCCTGTAAGAGTTGTGTTGGGTCCAGTGGCAAAGAGAGTCACTTCTGACAACATATCCAAATTCCAGAATTCCTACCGAGAAAGAGTCAAGGATCCCCTACTCTGTCGCACCCACCCCCCTGCTTTTTGAGCATGCATTTGGGTCAAGTCCTCATTTTAAGAGTGCTTCCATGCTGGTTTTAATTTTTTTAAAAGGCAGAATTATCTCTCATTCTTTTTAACTGCTTTAATTGGGCTGGATGTAGGCAAATCTTGTTCCCACTAAAGCCAGTGGGCAAATTGCAATGCAGTGTGGTAGCCAGAGTGATGGACTAGGACTTGGGAAAACCAGGTTCAAGTCCCTGCTCAACTAAGATGCTCATGAGGTGACTTTGGGCTGGTCACTGACTGAGCCCAATTCCCTCACAGGGTTGCTGTGTTGCTAAAATGGAAAGGAGACCATGTGAGCTCCCTTGGGATTCTTGCAAGAGGACAATTAGCTGGGCTACAAATATAATGAGTCATGACTTAAGTCACAACGCAATCCTATACTCACTTTATACCTGGTGCTGTAGTCAAAGTAGGGGTGCAATACAGAAACAGAGTGAGTCCGAAAGGGTCTCCTGGGCTAGCTTGCCTGAACCCCGGCTCCAGCCAGCTCCACTCATGTCGGACCCACACTATTAGTATTTTTATTATGAAAAATCTTTCTTGGCTGCCTTTCAGGACAGAAGCCCTCCAAGGCAGTGTACAATCATAGAACACACAATAAAAACCAATAGAATATTTAAAAAAGCAACACACGCAGTTAGAATCAAAACAGCAACAGCAGCAAATGAATCAGGGGAAGGCCACGATGAGGCATTGTTTCCAGGGCCTTCAAAAAATTTGTGAGGATGAAAAGACCTAATGGACTCCAAAGGGGTGGGGCGCTGCAGAAATGGCTATGCTTCTGTAGATGCCCATCTATATCTGGCCTCACAGGGGGACGAATAAGGAGGGCTTTTCTGGCTGATCTATACTTTGGGCAGGATGGCATGAGTGAGGAGGGTCTCCTCCCTCATCTCATGTAGCAAGGCTGGCTTACTATGTTTTGAAGTCATAACATTTCATCTAAATTTCAGAACTGATTGCTCTCGGATGGTTTCTAGAACTCGGGCACTTCATAGGTTGAGCTGGCATAGACAGTGGAAGAGGAGAATGAACTGCAGGGCCAAACATATGGTGAACTACATGTTGCCACTGCTGCATTGGAGGATCCATTCTACCTTCCTTTGCTTATCTGCATGGGGTGCTCTCTCCTGGTATCCTCCACATTTGGGAATGGAGTTTGGTGCTAGCTTTGTCTCTGAAAGCACAAGGCAGGTCATCCTTCAGGTTTCTGGGCGGGGAAGTACAAACAATGTGCTCACTTGTGCCTGCCTCTTCTGTGCCATCTCTTCTGGGTCAAGCACTCCTCTCCCACTGCACCGCCTCCCTGAAGTTCTCCCTTGAGAGCCACCAGCGTGCCTAAGATGCAGCCAGGATAGGACATCTGCGTTAGGGTTTCCTTGTGTGGTAGCACATGGCAGGTGGGTGCCGAGTGATAGCAGCCACCACAACTCTCTCTTCTCCACCTGAGCTGGGCAGCAGTAATAACTCCCAGCCAGCATGACCACCTTCTCTTTTGTGTGGTTGTTGACACAGGTGGCAAGGTGGCCACTGACATGGGGCTATTTTGAACATCCCTCTTCCCACTGAAGTTAATGAGATGCATTTTTTTGGCAGTAGGTCAAGGGATAATGCAAAATAGTGCCACTGGCTGTAGCTTGAAGTGGAGAAGCCAATAGTGCTGCACTTCTGCCCCAGTTAATCCATTCCACTGACCCTGCAGGGCTTCTGAAGAATCCTAGATAGCTCCCTAGTCAGTAGGACAATACTAGTGAGTTGCACCCTGGTTGGAGTACTTTAGTTATATTCCAGACCATTATATTTTTGGATTTTGTACATTAGCCAGTCAAAACAATCAGTGAGACAGGTTATAAATACTTCTGGCTCTTCCTTCACTCAACCTGCTGCCCTCCAGGTGTGTTGGTCTACACAAATCCCATCACCCTGGCTTGTATGGCTAATGATCAGGCAAATGAGAGTTGAACCTTATACCAACTCGTGAGCAGCAGACCGGGGGAGCCAGTCACAATGGCATGTGCTTGCCCCACCAAGCACTGTGTTTCATGACCAGCCCGGGGACCCATCCCAGATTCTTCTCAGCACTCCTTTGTATCACACCTTCAAATAGTTTATTCAGTAACACTTGAACTTTACAGAAAAATAGGATTCTGCTATGCACGTTTTCTATTTACATTGTCATTTCTATAAAATACAGCTCTACTTTTAAAGATTTACATGGTTTGCTTTCTCTCCAAGAGAACTGTCAGTCCACAAGCTTCAGCACTGCACACAAACTATAATTAAACTGTATTGTAGAGAACTGGGGCTACTGCCTGGACGATTCCCACTCATATCCTGTCTACAACAGTCATATTTCAAGCAGAACACATCTCAGGAGTTAAATTCACATGACCATTACAGCAGCAGCTTTGAGTGCACATGAGGAAATTTCAGTGCACTACATATTTAGGCCTGCTATTCCTGCCCTGCTGTGACCTACTTTCAAAAGATGTCCCTTTCAACAGGACATATGGAAACATCCACGAGTCCAGCTCACATGCCGAGGAGGGGGGGGGGGGCTCCAATCTTGACCTGAACACACACAGTCATTGTTGGTCTAGCCATGATGTGGAACGCAAAGACTCATATAGTATCTCCTCTCATTCCACAGTCCTTTCCCCATAGCCCTGAGAGTCACCAAGATGGTGCCATGCTCAAGAGACACTGAATGCATTGCTTTGCTGCCTCTTAATCTTCCTAGCTTTTGACACAATGGTGCCAAGTGAGTGGCCAGGAGTGTGAACGAAAAGAGGGGCAGGCTCTTCCCAACTTAATCTGCAAAAGTGTGCTTGCTTTGTGTCATTACAGGAGACAGGCTTTCTTTCTCAATGAGGTCTCTTGCCTAGGTCTCTTTGCTGTATCAGTATACTAACCTCAGCCTGCTATGCTGCAGACAGTCTGTGCCAAACTCCTGGTTGTTACTGGTATGGCAGGTTGAGGCCACTTAGACTACAAATATCTTACCCAGGGAGCTTACAAAGAGCTCATTCAGGAAGAACATGGAAATATAACTTGAGATGAGCTGAAACATGAAGCTGATTACAGGTGTAGTGCCTGCAGTTTCCAAGAAAACTTTATTTTAGTAATGAAGAAAAAACATTGGGCCTGCTATGGGAAAATTCGGATGTAGGCACAGTACTCGGAACAAGCAAAGATTTCTAGGAATTCCCAGGAACCAAGACACTTAGGGCACAATCCTATGCATGTTTAGAGCACAAGAACCCTTACAACTTCCAGTATGCTCCAGCCAACTGGCTGAGAAATGCCTGGAGTTGGAGGACAGTAGTTTCTGTCTAGATAGGGCTAAAATAGTGCCCTTATAGAGACAGAATTAGATTCAATCTGGAAATCCAGCATTCCCATGAATATCCCCAAGACTGCTGCGATCCCCCCTCCACCCCGCAAGTATCACCTAGTTAGATATCTCCAGTTTAGATGTTCAGATTTCCCATAAGCCAACTCTCCCATTTATTTTCTGCATGACTTGTTTCCCCCCTTGCAGTGGTCAGTCCCAGCACCCTGATCAGCCTGCTCAACTGAGCTTTCTAAAGACAGCATTGTTTTCCTGAGGGCAGTTGGCATGGCAAACGCAGGAGGTGATGGACATCACAGGATGCTTGACGTTGCCTTGCGGACAACGGAACTCAACTTCGATGGTTTTGGTGGTGTGAGGAGTACAGCATCGGCCATCATTGCAGACGCCACAGTAGCGGGGCTTATACATCTGGATGCTAGTGCAGTTCTTATACTCCAGGTGGACAGCTGTTGGGGACTTCTTCGTCCGGATACACCTCTTGCCCTTCTGAAAAAGAATTGGGTATTACTGAATGGTCATCCAAGTATCAGTTAGCTCATGGTCACCATAACCCACTAGCAAGCCATAAGGAGCTTTAGGATAAGTAGCTAGATGACCAGTAGGAGAAAAGACTGGAGAAAAGACTCTCAAATAGTGCCTTTCTAGACTGCAATGCTGGGCTCTAACATACACATGCTAACCCAGTTGCAACTGCCAAGAGTGCGATGCTCGTGGTCTGTGAGCCCCTTGATTTCCAACCTTGCTCTACCTCTGATCCAGGATGCAGAAAAGACTGAAGCAGAGGCACTCACTTAGGCGTGTCCCCTGATGGAATGGCTGAGAGCCAAACTAGGCCAAGTCTGCTCCAGCTGTATTGTCCCCTTCCTCCCAGAGAGAAAAGACTCTCCTCAAGGCAGGGTGATGGGTTGCTCCTAGAGTTAAGGGACACCTGCTGGTCCTTTCTAGTCTGAAATTAGCAATCTTGTTATGCAAGGGCATAGCTTCCAGTGGAAGGAACTGCCTACTTTGGATGCATGGGAGTTGAAGGCATTTCTTTGCAGGAGCTGTGTGGGACGGGTCTCAAGGGGATGCAACACTGGCAGAACAAGCCACACAACCATCCTGTTCTACATGGTCCCAGGAGGAAATCTCACTGCTACAGAAAGGCAGCTACAGCAGGTGAGAGCAGCAGCATGCGTGTGATGTGGACAGATCCAGATTCAGCAAATACCTGCATACCAAGTCAAGTATTTCCCATAAGGTTGTTCTTTCCTGAATAACGATACTCTGATATCTATGTCAATCAAAGTAAATAGAAAGTTCATCAGTGATCCAGTAGTTGCCGTCTCCTTCCTCTGGCTAGTTGAAGCAGTTCCTGCATGTCACCCCAACAAACCTATCCACGCTCTGGCTTCGTACTAGCCACCTTTCAAAACTGCACTGAAGATGCATTTGGGCTTAAGTTGCAGCAGGCTGCAGAGCAGGGCTGTAGCACCTTCCTAGTCCGGTGCTCCCACAATTCCCCACTAAGTATCCCTCCCTTTCCCTGGCTACATTGCTGCCCCTCATCCACCAACCCTTTGACACTCTCCCAGTTTTTGAGTAGTTTCTTCTTATTCTTAAAAGTTACCATGTCTCTCCTAAGGCTCAGTTACAACAGGGAGAACTTTAAGCTACAACATGCTGGTGTTTTGGGGGCCCTTTTCCTTTTGCCCTGCCAACTCTGGAAGGCACCCTGACAACTTTTCTGAAATGAAATTCGGTCACTGGGCTGAAAGAGGTTCAACTTTCCTGGTGTAGAAATGGCAAGAACTATTTCCATGTCTATGAACCAAGGCAAGCTGGATGTGGTCAAACAAGAGATGACAAGACTGAACATCGACATCTTAGGAATCAGTGAACTAAAATGGACAGGAATGGGTGAATTTAATTTAGTTGACCATCAGGTATACTACTGCGGGCAAGAATCCCTCAGAAGAAATGGAGTAGCCTTCATAGTCAATAAAAGAGTAGGAAAAGCAGTACTGGGATACAATCTCCAAAATGACAGAATGATCTCGGTTTGAATCCAAGGCAAACCATTCAACATCACAGTAGTCCAAGTCTATGCCCCAACCACTGGTGCTGAAGAGGCTGAAGTTGACTGGTTCTATGAAGGCCTACAACACCTTCTAGAATTAACACCAAAAATGATGTCCTTATCATGGGGAATTGGAATGCTAAAGTAGGAAGCCAAAAGATAACTGGAATAACAGGCAAGTTTGGCCTTGGAGTACAAAATGAAGCAGGGCACAGGCTGGTAGAATTTTGTTGAGAGAATACAATGGTCATAGCAAACACTCTTTTCCAACAACCCAAGAGACGACTCTACACATGGACATCCTCAGACGGTCAACACAGAATCAGATTGACTATGTGCTCAGCAGCCAAAGATGGAGAAGCTCTATACAGTCAGTAAAAACCAGACCAGGAGCTGACTGTGGCTCAGATCAGGAGCTTCTTGTTGCAAAATTTAGGCTTAAATTGAAGAAAGTAGGGAAAAGCACTAGGCCAGTCAGCTATGACCTAAATCATATTCCTGATGAATTTACAGTAGAGGTGACAAATAGATTTAAGGAATTAGATCCGATAGGCAGAGTGCCTGAAAAACTATGGACGGAGGTTTGCAACATTGTACAAGAGGCAGCAACTAAAACCATCCCAAAGAAAAAGAAATGCAAGAAAGCAAAATGGCTGTCTGAGGAAGCTTTACAAATAGCTGAGGAAATAAGGGAAGCAAAAGGCAAGGGAGTAAAGGAAAGATATACCCAATTGAATGCAGAATTCCAGAGAATATCTAGAAGAGATAAGAACGCCTTCTTAAATGAACAGTGCAAAGAAACAGAAGAAAACAATAGAATAGGGAGGACCAGAGATCTCTTCAAGAAAATCGGAGATATGAAGGGAATGTTTCATGCAAAGATGGGCATGATAAAGGACCAAAATGGCAGGGACCTAATAGAGGCAGAAGAGATTAAGAAGAGGTGGCAAGATTACACAGAAGAACTATACAAGAAAGAGCTTAACGTCCCTGATAACTACAATGGGGTTGTCACTGATCTCGAGCCAGACATCCTGATATGTGAAGTCAAATGGACCTTAGGAAGTCTGAGTAACAACAAAGCTAGTGGAGGCGTCAGTATTCCAGCTGAGCTATTCAAAATCCTAAAAGACAATGCAGTAAAAGTGCTACACTCAATATGCCAGCAAATTTGGAAAACTCAGCAGTGGCCACAGGATTGGAAAAGGTCAGTTTACATTCTGATCCCAAAGAAGGGCAATGCCAAAGAATGTTCAAACTCCCACACCGTTGCACTCATTTCACATGCTAGCAAAGTTATGCTCAAAATCCTACAAGCTAGGCTCCAGCAGTATGTGGACCGAGAACTACCAGAAGTACAGGCAGGATTTCGAAGAGGGAGAGGAACTAGAGATCAAATTGTCAACATATGCTGTATCATGGAGAAAGCTAGGGGGTTCCAGAAAAACATATACTTCTGCTTCATTGACTATGCTAAAGCCTTTGATTGTGTGGATCACAACAAATTGTGGCAAGTTCTTAAAGAGATGGGAGTACCAGACCATCTTATTTGTCTCTTGAGAAACCTATATGAGGGTCAAGAAACAACAGTGAGAACTGAACACGGAACCACTGATTGGTTCAAAATTGAGAAAGGAGTTCAGCAAGGCTGTATACTGTTGCCCTGCCTATTTAACTTATATGCAGACGACATAATGAGAAAGGCGGGGCTAGATGAATCACAAGGTGGAAATAAGATTACCAGAAATATCAACAACCTCAGATATGCAGATGATAACACTCTCATGGCAGAAAGTGAAAAGGAACTAAAGAGCCTCTTGATGCAGGTGAAGGAGAACACAAAAGCTTGCTTGAAACTCAACATTAAGAAAACTAAGATTATGGCATCCAGTCCTATCACTTCCTGGCAAATAGATGGGAAAGAACAGGAGGTAGTGACAGATTTTATTTTCCTGGGCTCTAAGATCACCACAGATGGGGACTGCAGCCAAGAAATTAAAAGATGCTTGCTCCTGGGGAGGAAAGCTATGGAAAATCTAGACAGCATACTGAAAAGCAGAGACATCACCCTGCCAACAAAAGTGCGTATAGTCAAGGCTATGGTTTTCCCAGTTGCAATGTATGGCTGTGAAAGTTGGACGATAAGGAAGGCTGAGCGCCGAAGAATTGAGGCCTTTGAATTGTGGTGCTGGAGGAGACTCCTGTGAGTCCCTTGGACCACAAGGTGATCAAACTGGTCAGTCCTAGAGGAGATCAACTCTCACTGCTCCTTAGAAGGCCAGATACTGAGGATGAAACTCAAATAATTTGGGCACCTAATGAGAAGGAAGGACTCCCTGGAGAAGAGCCTAATGCAGAGAATAATTGACAGCAAGAGAAGAAGGGGATGGCAGAGAATGAGGTGGCTAGATGGAGTCACTGAAGCAGTCTGCATGAGCTTAAGTGGACTCCGGGGGATTTCTGGAGGTCAGCCCAATGGAAATGAGTCTGCATGATGCACATCATGTGCTACTCAGGAGACTCACATTTCTGGCCCTCTTCCTCCAAGCCCATATTTCAGGGGCTTCTCAAATAAGCAGGTAATTACAGGCCCAGCATGCTAAGGATAAGCCCTACCTTATCTGGTGGTTGACTCTTCTCACATGACCGCACCTCACAGAGCCTGGTCTGCTTCACCATCTCGCATGCTGGATTCTTGTTGGTGACCCGAGTGGAGAAGCCCATTCCACAACTCGTGGAGCACGCACTCCATTCTGTTGTCTGCTCGATGCAGTTCAAACTTGAATCTGAGGAGTCCGTTCCAAGGGTGGCTTCAGGTCTGTATGCTGAATGCAAGATTTATTAGCCTATGACATTGGTGTCTGATGCCCAGTAAAATATCTCTGTATGGAGCATACAATAGCAAAATACAATAATAGAACTGAAGATGTGTTGAGCCACACCATAGATACTTAATAATTTGACGATTGTAACATGTTCCTTGTACAGGTACCCTTGAAGAGTGTTCCGAAACTACAACTGCTGCAAAATTTGCTTCTAGATTAACCTTTGGTGTGTGCTCTATAGACTGCATTGCAGTGGGTTCCAATTTTACCTGTAAAGTCCTAAACATCTTTGGACCAGGATATCTGAAAAACCATCTCCTCCCACAAGAACCTACCTGTAGTTTACAATCTCAGCTGATGCCCTGTTATGCATCCTAAAAGAGGTAAGGATGATGGAAATAAAGGACAGGACTTTCTGGCATCAGCTCCCCAATTCTGAAAGTCCTTTTCTGGGAAGATTAGAGTAACCCATGCATTGTTTAGCTTGGATTAATACAAACATCCATGAACTGCTCAGTTTTAGCTGCTTTTGAAGAATTGACAACCGGTTTTAGTTGAGATGTTTTCAGTGCTCTATTTTAATTCATGGTTTAAGTTGCTTTCATGTCTATTTTGCACATGCCTTTGTGAGCCTTATGGTCGAAAGGTGTTCTACAAATTTTAAGAAGCATGTTACAGTGTTAAAAATGGTGAACAAGGTGGTACTCAAACCCTGTTACTGAGAGAAGGCTGAAAATTCTTAGGAACTTTGGATCACCCCTTCAAACCTGACCCCTTCTGTTACAGTAGCAGAACTATTTAAGCTTCTCTGAGTGCCATGTTACAGTCTTCAGTGGAAAATCAATAGCCTACAACAGGGTTCCCCAACCTTTCAGACCTGTAGGCACATTTGAGAATTTGAGCAGCTCTTGTGGTTATCACTAGAAGCTGCCCTATGTGTGAACTGATGCTTTGGCATCCACCTGTCATGGCTATGGAGTTTAGGCCATGTCTTATTCTGCAAAAACTTGTTTGTGTCTACTGGACACAACATCTAAAGCATCACCTAATGCAGCTAGTGCTTCTTTTAAACACATGTTTAGCACTGTCCAGTAACTGCTGCTTCTCAGATTGCTACACAGAAAAATATTTTACTGATGTACACGCTTGTACATTATTTACCTCTTCATGGAAACTAACAAAGAGTCAGTGCCAGTGGATTATCTGTGCCATTTTGATGGTCAAGTACAACGTTGGAAGATAAGCACTCAGTGGCCCAAAGTAACATCTTGGGGGATATGAATCATAGAATAGTAGAGTTGGAAGGGACTAGATGGCCATCAGGTCCAACTGCTCTGCTCAGTTCAGGACTCCAAGCTAAACCATCCCTCTCAGATGGCTGTCCAGTTGCATCTTGAAAGCCCTTAGTGTGGGAGAACCCAGAACCCCCTGACAGTGGGGACTAGAACCCGGATATCCCAGGCCAGAACTCTAACCACTACACCACACTGGCTAGTCTTCACAATCTTAAGGGTTCGAGACTTGTTTTTAAGATTTGCTCAATGCCAGGATTTTCCTTGTAGAATTCGATCATGAAATAAGATATCCCAGTCTTCCCCAATCTGGTGCCCACCAATTGTTTGTTTTCTCCACAACTCTTACAAGTCCCAGACAACAAGGCAAATAGTCATGTATAATCGGAGTTATAGTTCATCTGGACTGCTTGAACAATGGAAAATACAACTGAGTTTTGCATCTGTACTTCGTTTCCTACATCTGTTTCCACCAAGGCTGACAAGGAAGACGCAACACTGATGGCTATCTGGCAGGGCAACCTTCCACAGAATGGAGCTATGCTTGTTTACTCCCATGGCTTACACAGGGTCGGTTCTTATAGCTTATCTGTAACGGTACTTGATTGCTTTAGGTCTGGGACCATAAAACAATATCACTGTTACTAGCAGACCATTCTTTTGTTTTCAAGCTTTGGACCAATTATACAAAGTTCAGGCTTGTCAAGACATCCACTGGGTTTATGATACAGTCCCACCGATATCACAGCGTATGCTTAAACTGTAAACATTACCAAACTTTATGGGCCAAAGAACAAGTAGTGTGAAACCAAAGGTGGAGAGCACAAAGGTGGAGACCTTTGAACATGGCTGAGACTGAAAATTGCTAGGACCCTACATGGCTGTGACACACATTTGGACTTATGAGTGTCTTGGCCTGCAAAAGCACAGTTTAAAGCTTTTTGCCCCATGGAAATAAACAAAATGAGCATTTCTTCACCTTCTCATGGAAGCACAGTTTTCCAGGCATTTAACCTCTCAGCTCAGCATCTGCTTACACAGAAGTGAAAATTCAAGATTAACTTGTTGCTGTACTGATTAGAATCAAAAACCTAAATGGTAACAGTATCTGTGGAAGAATAGACTGAATATTCACCTGACCTATATTTAGGAAGTCCATAAAAGAAAAGTAGTACATCAGCAGGGAAAGATCAAGGCCAGAGTCTTTCAGTCAAATGTCAGTCTTTACTTAGAGTTTACCCTCAAAAGGGTATCTACTACCTATAATCCTTAACATTCTGCTGCATGTGCAGTAAACATGGCTTATTTCTCAGGAGTAAATGGCCACAAGAGTTTCTGTCTACCTACAGTAGAGCAAGAGTCTGTAAATCTCACTTTAACTTTGTATATCCTAATCACAGCCATGCTAGTAAACACAAAAAGCACAGACCCATTTATTTCTTTTGCTAACCCATTGCTGACCAATTGTAGCTCATCAAGAACCCAGAAGTATAGAAACAAATCTTCCAGTTTCTTTGTATAGAACTACTCATTGCTTGCCAGGAACAAGGTGGTACAGGATTGCATTAAGAGCTAGCAGGTTCCTATATAGGGCTGAAAAGTCACCCGTTTCTTCAGAACAGATTTCTGTTTAGAAATGTGGCTTAGTGGCAGTTTTGTCTTAAGCAGCCTGCCCTAGCAATTGCCCACTGTGGTTATAACTAAAATTTCATCTTGGAATATATAGCTGAAATGGTTGCATTATTCCAACACAGATCTTTTGGAGACCCAGAGAATGCATTTTGAAAAACTGGCTTATTTACAAAAGCTCCTGAAATCTCAGTTTAATTCAGGGGTGGAGAACACTTTCAACCTGAAGGCCAAATTCAGTTTTGGGGACTTTCTCAAGGATTACATTCCTAGGGAGGGTGGGGCTGAAGGTAAAAGAGGTGAGGAAGAAGAATCAAGAATAGGGTAAAGCTTAAGGCTTGGTTACTGGGAAACAACAGCTTTAAGAGAAGCATTTCAAGCTTTCAGAAAAACTGCAGAAATGTCAGGAGACTGTGGAATGATTGGTGGCAGGGGGAAAAAACTGGGAGATCAGGAGTTGGGTGTGTGGGCCTGCAGGGAATCACAAATCTGCCTCAGTTGGGACCCCAGGTGAAACTTCCTATCTCTGGTTTCAGTTAAGGTGAGATACATCAGAAGAACACATCTCTGATGGACCAGTTGAACCCGCCAAAACTACTTGGTGTTCTGTGAGTAAGTGACTAAGCCATTCCCCTTGAAGAAAAGCACATTTCACCATGGCCTGATAGTTCTCTTTGGTCAAGTCAGGCGGTTGAAAGAACATTTAGCTTTTGGCTTTAAGTTACTCACCTGCCAGGGCAAGATCTCCCACATCAGCATCTTCTTTCGGGTCACATGACCACTGCTCACAGCACTCCTTGGGGTCTTCAATTTTCCTTGGGAAGGGGCAGTCAGGGCCAGGAAGCAACAAGTCCAGGTTACAGCGGGGCACGCAACCTATTTGCCCATCTTGGCATGTACAGTGGTATTTACAGTTTGGCTGGAACGTCTCACCACTCCGGTAAATAATGCCGTCAAACACACAGTTGTCTCCTTCAAGGTCTGCAGCAAACAAGGAAAGCAATCAAGCTGACTGATGTTTGTTCTGCTTGCTATGAGGAAATACAACATGCATACTATGGAGCTGCAGAAGAAACATGCAACACTTCCACCAGACAAGTTTTTCTGAAAGATTCCCGGGTTATCCAGTACAAACCCATTACAAGAAATTGTTCTCCAGATGTTGCATGTGACATCCATAGAGCATCTTGCATTTCGATTCCTGGGGGGTTCAAAAGGCTCCAATTAGCTTTCTTTAAATGTCCAAGGTTTTAGCTGCTGCTGAGATCTTACTGGAACTCATCTGTGCTCAGAGGGGGTTAAGGCAGCCCCCATGACCATCTGCATTTGACCATCATCCTGTTCAGTACAAATGCAAAGTTTCTGGAAGTCAGTTTTGTTTTGAGGAGTGACTTTTTTGGCCAAGTTAACAAGCCATTTTCAAGAGATGACTAAGACTTCAGACCTTTATACTGTCTTTTATGTTTTTGCAGAACCCAGGCCTTAGGGGTCACCCCATCCCCATGTCCCTTGGCTTGTACTCCTCAAAGTCCCTTACCCTCTTCCGTCATGCCTTTCTTTTTGTACCCTGTTGCTCTGTTGCTTTCATCTCTGAACTCCGTTTACTTAGCCTCCTTCTTCAGCCAGGACAAAGTAGGAACACCAACCAGAATATTTTTAATGCCTTCCTAGTTCATTGAATTTATTCCAGTTGCAGATTTAGGAGTTTGTACAAAATTCTTGACCTCTTGCTTGGAAACTGGTTCAAGAGCTGCCAAAACATGCAGTGAGGACACTCTGCAAATGAACTACATTCCCTAGTTGTGACATTATCATGGAGCTGGAGCCAGGAGGGAAACTGGATTATGCTCAGAGACATCCAGATTGGATTTTGGCATCCGACCCAAAAATTAGGCATAAATTTATATGTGGTTAAGGCTGCAATCCAATCCAGATGTAGTTGGGAGCAAGTGCCATTGAATTCAATGGGATTAACTCCATGAATACATACAATGGCTTCCGGTGTGCATAAAATCTATTTCAAGCCATCCATGTGTGGTAGAATGGAGAGGCAAGAGGGAAGCTGAACTGGTACCCAGCATACCAAACACACCATTCCGGGATGGAAATTAGCTACATTTTAAAGATCCATCCTCATACATTATTCAATCAAGTTCAGCTATGGTTGTAATGTTGCCTGAACAACAGTAATTGTCTCGTTGTCTATCCAAGCTTCTTCCACTCTCAAGTAATTATAGGTAATTACATTCAGGTGTGATATAAATCTAAAACACCGCTACTAAAGTATTTTATGAAAGTATTCAGACATCTGTACAGACCCAGAGGCTCAGAATCAAAATTCCAAGTGTGGTCATTAGTACTGCCTATTATTGTCCATAAAAGGTTATATTTCTCACCACCACCAAGTAACCCTAGCGTTCCCCCTGTACATCTCAGACTAGATCTACTGAAGGAGAGAGTTCAAGCCTAGACATTCAGCCTAGCAAGCCTAGACACTCAAGAGCAGGAGCAGTAGGTAGAACTGAAGACCTGGCACCCTCCAAATATCTTGGGGTACAACCTCCATTAGCCCCAGTGCTAAAGGATTATGAGAGCCATAATCTCAAACTTCCACAATCTATACTGCACGTTTCCACACCTAGATGCCCTCCAGCTGTTGTTGGACTACAAATCCCAGAATCCCCTCAGTCATCTGCTGCAGGAGAAAATTACTGGATGCGTGTTTCTGCCTCTCAATGACCAAAAACTCCCCACTGCCCCGCTTTAAATTGCTGAAATATCTACTTGAGCCGGTGCATGCAGCCTGTCACGGAGCATTGGAGTCCGTTTCCGCATCCTCTGACGCACCGCTTCGCACGTGGCGACACCTGCGCTCCCATCCACTCTGTTGCGCCTGGCAGGTTCCGAGCGATGGGGCCTGAACTCCCAGGGTAAAACCACGCGTACCCTCCAGCCTGAAGGGCGCCCACGCAAGGGCTGAAGTCGCTGCAGTCCCACGTGCAGCCGAGAGGGACAGGTGAGAAGGACCACGGATCCACCCCAGCCTTTACTCACCCATGCAGACCCCAAAGTCCGGCTCGGTGCCCGCCGCGCGGTCGCAGTAGAGAGCGCTGCTCTCGTCGCAGGGCATCCTGTCGGAGCAGCTCTCGCCTCGCTGCCGAGCGCAGGTCAGGCAACAGGAGCAGCCGTCCAGCACGGTTGGCACGCCGGGCGCGCAAGCGGGCGGGTCCGTGGGGCAATCGCATGGCAGCGCGCACTTGTGCGCCTCCTGGCCGCGAACCTGGAGAGGAGGAGGGAGTAAAAGCGAGACGCGTGGTCAGCAGAAGCGCCCGGCCGGCCGAAGAGGCCACGCCGCTCCCGCGCGCACGCCAACCCCATTCACCATGCACAGCAGCAGCAGCAGCAGCAGCAAGAAGACCGCACGGGGGCCGCGCCGGCTACCGGCAGCTCGCACCACCCGCATGTTGGCCGCGCCCTCCCGCGCTGCGCTCCGCATCGCGCCTGATGCGCATCGCCACGCGCACACAGCGCTTGGGGTCCGTTTATATACAGCGCCTCCGCAAGCCTCGTCCGCCTATTGGAGGACGCGGGAGGGGGCCGGAGCCAATCCCAGGCCGTGGGGTCAAATTCGGGCTTCAGCGCTCCGGGTGGGGGCAAGGGGGGTAGAGGAAACCCGCGCGGGAGGCGGCCGGCGCGGGGAAGCGCCTCTCGGGGACGTGCGGGGCCTTCGCGCGTGAAGGTGATTGCAGGGAGAGCCGGGCCTCGCTAGCTGCGGTCGGCGCCTGCTAGAATTGCTAAGCGCCACTTTGGGGTGGGGTAGTCCCTGATCTGGGGCTCGGTTCCCAAATCTGGCCTGTGCCAGGAGCTGAAAGGTTATCTCAGAACAGCGTCGCTCAGCCGAGCTCCCTCTGCAACCCCCATGATGCTGGCCGGGAAACGATGGGAGTGGTAGTCCAGCAGCTGAAGGGCCCATGCTAGCTGGAGGTGATGAGTGTCATCCAGCAATCCCGGAGGGCACCGTGCGCACTGGGGATGATGGGAGTTGAAATCCACTAACTGGAGGGCCCCAGGTTGGGAGCGGGCATTGCAGAAGTATCTGCAGCATGGCTTTTTATCTCTTTATTCACCTGAAGCTTTCTCTGAAGATACATAATAAACCCAGCAGGCTTTCCAAGCCAAGGGAGGTGCCTCGGAAGACCATCCTGTGGTCTCTGATGGAATATGCAATCTATACACGTAATAAAATAAATATCCACATTCATTTTCCCTTCTCAGAGAATGGAAGAAATTGGAGGAGGGCTGGAGTAGGTGAATAAGAAGAGTTCATATAAGCAATATTTCCAGTGATTCTTTGAGGAGTCCTTAGTCAAGTTGCTCTTTTGAGCGTCACAGTTTCCATCTCTAAAATGGGTGGAATAAGAAGCACTCACAGTTGCACTGTGTGATGGAAAGGCGGGTAAAGGTATGCAAAAACAGCAAAAAGTGCCTCAGAAGCTATTCTTAATAACAGCATGCTATGTTTGGTAGCATACGCAGGGGATACTGGTCATCGGCCTGCGTATGGAAGTGTTGATGCTGAAAAGAGAGGGTTGCCATGATGTCACTGGAATAACAACTCCTGTTTCCGTCTGCCAGCACCATTTGATGAACTTTTTTATTTTTAAAAAAGCTCACTGCTTTAGAAACTCATTATTGATTTAGAAGATTTCCATCCCACCGTTCTTTGACATTTGGCATTTTTTAAACTCAAGAAAAGTTTTTAAAATAATTTTGCTGGTATAAAATGCTTTGTTTCCTGGGACAAAAAGCCAAACAGCACACACAGACATGCCTCTGTAAATAAATGCAAACTAGCATGAGGCACCATCCACCAGGATCTTCTCTTACACAAGCCTAATTGAAATGAAATTGCACCATCCAGGCGCTGGTGGATTTTGGTAGATCCATGAGGACATCCTGGAGGATTTTGTCCTGTGAGTCAAATCTGATTTCTTGCCATCTGCCAACAATAGTGCTCTAAAGATGCTTTTCACTCCCGACATGGAGGATACATGGATTAATGGCTATTATGCATTTCACTTAGAATACAGGATATTATGGGCATATGGTTGGTTGGTGAATGGATGCGGTTGCCTTGATAGCCATTTCTCAGTGGCAGAAGACTCATTGTACTTGAAAATGGGGAACCAGACAAGACAGATGCTGGGTCTTAATCTAGTGAGGATGTTCTTACTTTCTTATCTCATGACATCTTGCCTCATTTTTATCCACACTCTCTTCTCCGACAAATGCAACTGAAGATGAGATTAACAAGTCACATGCTATTTTCTGTGATGATGATGATGATGATGATGATGATGATGATGATGATTATAACATTTCTATGCCGCCCCTTGCCGAAACCTCGGGGCGGCTTACAACACGATAAAATACAATGAAATACAATAGCACATAATAGTAAATAGTGATAGTAAATATTTCCTATGGCACTTTTCACCATGCATTTTAGCAAACCTTTATCTGTCTGATCCTCATGCTACAACCCTGTGAGATGGTAATAGTCGCGCCTGCCCTTTTACAGATGGGAATAATGAGGCAGAAAACAAGTGTTTGTCCAAGCAGCCTTGACAAACGCTTAGCAGACTAGGATATGACCCCCGCTTTTCTAGAACCTGTCCCTCTCTCTGCTACGATGATTTGATCCAAGCCTAATCCCATGAGTTATTAATTATTTTCTGGCAAAGAACTTGGCCTGGCCCAAGCTATTCCCTAAGTGTGCAGCTCCGTTGCTACAGCATTGGAGAGGAACAGATCAGAGTGTCAGCTGCTCCTGCAGAAATTAATGGACCAATATACACCAGCGGGAGTTTCCAAGAGCTAAGCAGGGCTGTCAAGGACAGGGCATTTTGGAGGGCTTCCCATTCATAGGGTTGCCATAAGTTGGAGACCACTTGACAGCACATAACAACAACAAATACACCAGAGGAGCTTTGTGTAAATACTGTAGCTAGGCTAGGCTGTGTGGTAGTGCAGTCCAGGAGACGTGCCCCAATATATCCTGGTAATAAATACTGTGCTTAGAATCAACAGGATGTGTTACTGCTTAGCATGTTCATGTTTTTAAGTTATTAAAAGTGACTTTTAATAGAAAAGACTTTTTAGTGAATATTTTTCCTGAAGTATCTGAAGAATGGTGATTAGGAAAACCAACCATTAGAAGAGAATGAGGATCATGACAGAAAGAAAGATAGGAAGAAAATAGTTGTTGCTAAATAAAAATTGAGCAGGCTTTTATTAAATACTGACACTTAAAAAATCAAGTTATTTATCACCTTTGCATTCCATAACATTGTATAGTCAAGGGAAAGCAGTCATCAAAGATAGTGCCTTTCAGACAAGCTGGAACCACAATTTCTAGCAATTGTTGACCAATTCATGCTAACTGAAGCTAACAGTAGTTGAAATCAAAAACACCAAGAGGGAGATGCTCTAATAGCTATTTTCAAAGTTACCTTTAGAACTGAACACTTGACTTATTCCTGAAGTAAAGTGTCTCTCATTAAAACAGTACTATCTCCTTCCACCCTATTCCTTCAGGACAATTACTTCATGTAAATACATAAAACTCCAACCATTCGCAAAGTATCTTCCCTCAAGAGCCTGATACTCTAGGGATTGATCCAGGGTGCCAAAAATATTAGAAAGTGGAGGGGAGGTTATTCCAATGGGACAGCAACTGGAGCAATATGAATTCTGGCAAACAGGACTACTTGGCCTGAACTCCAGGATCTTTGGTTTTAACTGGGTCATGGATCAGTCTGAAAACTGAAGCACAAGAACAAAGCCAATGTTGTGTGGTGATGAAAGAATTATGTTTGAATGTGTGGGAAACCCAGATGCCAGAGCAAGCCTATCCTATTTGTTCAGGTCTCTTTCAGCCCAAGGGCCAAATTTAGGTTTGGAGAAGCACTCTGGCCGCAGTCGAGTGGTAGGTAAGTAGGTGGGATCAAAGTCAAGAGGGAGCCAAAGGGAAAAGGGAACAAGTATCCAAAATTGCCAGCACATTTTAGTTTAAACTCTTCCTGCCTGTAACTGACCTTGGGAAAGGTGTTTCAGCCTATAAGAATGGGGAAAGCACCAGAAGATTGGTGGTTGAAGAAAAAGAGGTGAGGCCACAGCAGGGGTGGGACCTGGGCCGGCCCTTTGTGGGCCTTGTTTGGTCTGTGTGCTTGAGGTTCAGCACCCCTACTACACATGGTCGGACAAGGAGAGGAGGGGGAAGACACACAACCAGAAAATTCAAAAACAATGTACCGAAAGGGAGACCCCCTCTAGTGTCACTGGAGATGCCTCCTATGTCTACCAGTCACAGACATGGGCGATGAGGGTACCCATAGTCAACCTGCACAGAGAGGGAGCCAGTGAATGAATGAGGATGGGGAACTGCCCTGGCAATACACATGCATCACTGCCTTGCACACAAGAGCAGCCTTGGTCCATCAAGTCCAGCAGCACGCCAGAAATGACCCCAGTACCATCAAGGACTATGCTGGAGGCAACACAGCTAGCTCCTGTGGCAGGATCTTGCATTCCCAGTAAAGATGGATATGTATTGGCTCCAGTATCAGGGGCAATATGCCAGTTGCTGGGGAAGGTAGGGATGTGTGAGGAATCTGTTTTTGGGATGGAAATCCATCAGATTCCCTGGGCTCAGTCCCCCATGCTCTGGCATGCTTCCTCGCATCTGTGAGTCTAACTTCCCAAGGAGAGCACTGAGCATTTGTGCAGTGCTTGCCAGGAACTGAGCCCCGGTGGTGTCCCTCTTCCACATAATGACTGCCCGCCTTTGTTTCTGCTGCATGAGCTGCAGAAGGTTGCTGGTTGTGCAACCAGAGTTGTGTGTGTGGCCATGGACTTCCTCTTGGCTCAGCTTGGCTCACTTTCTGAGCTCAGGCTGGGCATGAGAAGAAGTCTGATGGATAGAAGAAAGCTGGATTCCATCACAACCCAAGAGCATCACAACCTGAAGAGGAGCTGGTGGCTTCCCAGAGACACCCAGTTAGCTACTGTGAGAACTCTCTGCTCAAGCAGGGCTGTTCATATTTTCCTAGGCAGAGTGAGAGAATAATGGCTGCCATCTAAGTGCCCTGTCACTTTCCTTGCCTCAGCCTGACCCCAATCCACCATGGGAGGGAGGGAGGGACTAGGTGACCACATATACTTAATGTCTTCTCTTGGCACCTTTCCCAAGCTCCTTGAAATGGGTGGATGCAACAGCACTAATGAAATAGAAAATGAAGGAAAAAGGAAAGAAAAAGGGAAAAGACAGTATCCTAGAATTGCAATTGATACTTTGCTCCACTTTTTGCAGGCTTTTGTAGTCCTTTAAAACACAACAAAATTACAACGAAACACAACTAAAATGGTGCCCCTAGCCTCCAGCTTT